GGCTAGCAACATTATTTTTTAAAGGCAGGACCATCGTTCCGCACTTTCCCTCCTCTGGCAGCCACAGATCTGGCCAGGCGCAGCGCCCCCACCAAGTCTGGCTTTGTTTAAAACGTTGCTGTGTGTTTTGTTTGGCGCGGATGCTTGGCCGGCACTCTGGTTTCTAGGACTGCATGGACTCGGTGCTGACCTGGATTCCCGAGTTTTTTGTGTTTCTCTGACCTCCCTCTAGGCCAGCCCTGGATTGCTGGGACACGTGTGTGTCAAGAGGGACCCGAGAGGGCAAGGAAGGGGCGGCCCCTGTCCCCGAGCAGGACGTGGGCTGGAGGCGTCAGGAAAGCAGGCGGGCAGGGGTGGGCAGGGGATGCGCCCCACGCCCGGAAGGGCCCCTCGACCTCAGGCTCTGCCGTCGCAGCTCAGCGGGGACGCTGCCCGGGCGGGGCTCCCCGGGGGGCAGCGCGGAAGACAGGCAGGCCGTACCTTCTTGCTCTGGTAGTAGTCACAGAGCAGCGAGTAGGGCAGAGTGCACAGCGTGGAAAACAGGATCCCATAGGTGACGCAGAGCGACAGGACCACGTAGAGGTTCCTGGAGAGGGTGGCCAGCCCCGTGCCCAGTCCGAAGGCCAGGTAGGCGATGAAATAGAGGGTGCGGATGCCGAGGGCCTCTTCCAGCTTCTCCAGGATGGCTGCAGGCCAGAAGAGGGGTGAGCATCTCTTGGAGGCCGAGAGGAGCCAGGAGACCCCTTGCACTCCAGAGAGTGCCCAGAACGGGGCTGTGGGATGGTGGCAGGACCTGAGGGAATCCCTGGGACTTTCACAGGCACAGGGGTCTTGGGGCTGAAACACCAAAGGGCTCAGGGAGTTGGGGTCTCGAGCTGAACCCCTGTGTCCTCGTGCACATGACTGTCACCCCTGTCTCCTTCCTACGATGCAGACACCAACAGCCCGCCCGTTGGCCGGCCATGGTTTTTATGGCCCCGAGAGGGCGCGACACCATGGATAGCAACGAGCTTCCAGGAACCTGATAAAACAAGGCCCTTTCCCCAAGTCCAAAGCTGCCAGCAGTGGGGGCCCCCAACGCCCGAGGGTGCTGGCCCTGGCTTGCCAGTGCGCCTAACCTATCCCCTCCGGCTGTACCTCTCAGGAGCCCCAGACTGTGGGCTCACACCCACGAAGACAGCAAGAGCCGTGAAATGCCAGAGCTGGCTTTTGTAAGGCCCTGGGGCTGAGTGGGGTTTGGTCTTTTTAAATGACTTTTTTAAAAATCAAAAGACGAGTATTTTGTAACACGTGAAAACCCTCTGAAATTCACATTTCAGCAGACACAAAAAAGTTTTCGTGCCACACGGTGCCCCAAGCGGTTACAGAGTTCAAGGGTGCCGTGAGGCTCTGCCAGGTGGCCGCTTGGCCCACAAAGCTGGAAAAAGTATGCAGACCTCCAGGATGAAATCGGCCCGGAGCACACGCCCGCCAGGCCCCTCTGCTGGAGCCCCCGTGCGGCCCCAGTGTGAACTCAACCCGCCACCTGTGCTCCATGGGCTCCCCAGGCGCAAGACCA